GTGTGTGTGTGTGTGTGTGTGTGTGTGTGATATCGAGCTGTGTGAACGTCCAGTGGAGCCTTTAACAACACAGCTTTAATAAAGATGGACATTACAAACACCTACAGCAACAGCTAGAAGATATATAACAACAATAACAATAATCAGCCCAGCGCTGCAGTCAGTTCTGAACCTGCAATAACTATATTGATCCAAAGGTGTTGAGTGTTGTACTTTATACTTGTGAGAGGAGAGCTGAGGGAGAACAAAAGAGAATATGAAGACAAAGTTTATTTATGTAAAACTTTCTAACAAGTAGAACTATGTTGTTAATATCGAGTTATTGTTCCTTCAAATTCAACTTTGATATCACTGTTCGTCAAGTATGAAGCTAGAAACAATGCTTTCAAAATGCAATATAACTATAGATATATAACTATATATATACTGTGTATATACTGTACTTGTGGTGCAACAGAGAGTAGTTGATCCATAATCCGTAATAATGTTTGACGTTTATGACTTTAGGGGGTAAATGATTCTTATCGGCCGACGCGGCTCATCGATGATCAGATATTGGCAGCAAAATAAATACGATCCAGAATCTCTAAAAATGATATTTGCAGCCTTCTGTTTCTGCAGATCTGATCTGTGACTCAAAAAGCTGCGATACGTTCTGAACCGTGAGTTTTGTGATCCGTTGCATCCCGACACTAAACCGTGTAGATATAAGATAAGATTGTATTTTATCCGCTCGGTTCATCAAACTGAATCTAAACATGAAAGAAAGATCGAACTTGTCCGTTAGATCTTTTGTGTTCTGGTCGACGGTATTCACAGATGATTGTGCACAAACAAGCAGAGAAAACAAAGAATATCGAAGATCAACCAACAACAAACATTATTGATTAACACACACACACACACACACACACACACACACACACACACACACACACACACACACACATCACACTCCAGAACTTCCAAAGTACCGATAGCAGAACCGTTAACTCCGGACTTTATCGATACTCCTTGTTTTTACTCGTTAAGAACCGGTTCCCGTTAAGAACCGGGGTTCGGGGGCTTCTCTACTAACTGTGTTCTCCTTCATTCTGTGGATGAGTGTGGTGCTCTGACATCACTGCAGGTGAAGGGCGCCGCACTGCAAACCTACACAACATGCGTATGAATATACATGAGCTCTCTCTCTGCATTCAAACGTACCTCCCTGTCCTTGAGCTTCATGGCCAGCACCAGCTGGTTCCTGTGATTGGCCAGCGCTTCTCTGTAGCTGCCTTTGGAGAAGAGGGCGGAGCCGAGGTTCCCGTGAGCGCGGCATTCCCCCGACTGGTCCCCTGCGGACAAAGAGACAAAAGAGCGTGTGACGTTCACTGTCCTCGCCGTCCGTTCGCTCCTCACCTCGCCCTCCTCTCCTCTTGCATACCTAAGGTCTTGGTCACCTCCAGGTCCTGCTGCATGTAGGCCACGCTCTTCTCCGCGTTGCCCAGAGACCAGTAGGCCGAGCTCAGGGCCGAGAACACGGAGCCGCGCAGCTTCAGGGAGCACGTGCCGATCTTCAGCCCGGCCTCCAGCACCACCACGGAGGCGCCGTGGAAGCTGTGGGTCAGCAGCTCCTGACCGATGACGGACACGACCACGAACGGGCTCTTGTCCAGCTTCATCCTCTGCAGCTGCTGGTAGGTCGGCTCAAGGGAGTCTGTGGGGGGGGGAGCACAAAGACGCCGGTGAGGTGATGTGGGTCGGAGACACTGAACCCCAAGTACCTTCACAACAGAACACTCATCCTAAAGCAGCTCAGAATGGGTTCTGATTCATTGGAACTAACATATCCAAATTATTTATTATCCAACATCGTTAACTTGAACTAATGTAAATACTTTGGAAACCTTATAATAATTCCAAAACACGATTAATATAGCTAAACCTGTTGGAATGGAGACGAAGCATGCAGCTGTTGCACCGTCAGTAAATCATTTCTGGGTGATTGGAGGGAGAATTAGTGCTAATGGCTGCTCCTGGTCCTGAGGGGGCGACAGCCAAGTGGAGCAGAGACAGAGCAGAGCTGTGACTCCTGGATTTCACCATCTCTGCTGCTGTGATTCTGCTTTGCACTGAAGTAACCGGAGTAGTGAGTCAGAGCAAAACAAGTCCAGCATGTGCACCTCTCATTGGGCTTTGCAACAGACTGTTTGAACAGTTGTTGAATTGTTTAACACAGCATGTTACTGCATGTTACTTACCTTCGTCTTATTTACTTTAGATCACAAGAGATAAAAGCTTTTGTATTGCAAATGTACGCATTCATTTAATTCAAAGCTCTCATCTACAAGAAGAACACTGGCACAGATACATTGCACTGTATGAACACCATATTGTATTATGTCCTTTATTGCCTCCTTGGCCTCTGCTGTGCTACTGGAGCATCCTGCTGACCTACAACCTGTCAGATATTATACTGGACCCACCCAGAATTTCCAGCCACTGAGGGTCCATCAAGTCTGGTCAAGTGATGATCATGTGTTTGGTGGAGGCGGAGACATTCCAGCTGTTATTTTACATGGGACAGAGTCCACCTCTACAACGGTCTGTGGGGGATATTTAGAGGATTTTCCGCCCTTCTGTGAGCATTTTACAGTCAAATCATGTCCGTCTCACTCACTGAAGGACTGCAACAAGGTTTTGCGGATAGAAATAACTAATTTACTCTTTGAAACAAAAAGTTTAAATTAATAAGCCATAGAATGCACATTTGCTTAGTTACACAGTATTTCTGCTCGAGTTAGAGTAGTTTCGCAAAACTCGTTCAGAACTTCCTGTTCAGAGGTGCAAGAATAAAACAGCTGCTGCACCTGATCTATCGCTGCTGACTGATGAAATCTATGGCACCGTTTAATCAAGAGACAACTCCCACTCTGACGTTTCACAACTCATTCAATCTTTTCTTCTTTTTGCTTTCCAGACGTGTGCAACGCTTGACAAAACATCCCGACATCAGGTCACAGTTATCTGCATTTTATGCAAATGAGATGAACTGCAGCGGTTCTCCGTAGTCTTAGCAATACGACGCTAAATTGCAAAAATAGGTGGCGATGTAAAATGTTGCCAATTTGAGGCAGAGCTTAGTAAACATCCCCCCGGTAAGAATTGGAAGGATTGCCTCTCCTTTCTAACAACCTCTCAGCACATCATCCTATAAAAGAGACATCAGCAGGCCCCACAGGAGCCAGATAGGCCAGAGGAGGGGCCCCTCTTCCACGCTGTTAATGCTGCAGCTCCCCTCCTGGGCTCACTACACCCCGCCTTCTCCATGGTCCAAACATGTTGCCCTTTCCTCCTGCTTACACCTTACTCCTGGTAACACTTGATACTGGGCTTCTTAGCTTCTGAGGCGTGCTTGCTTTGAAGCTTATGGGAGATGGAGTTGTTTTTTTTGAGGTTGCAGCCCCCGGACAGCAGAGCAACCTCCCACAGTGCATCAGATCTGCACAGTGATGCTTCTGCAGGAGTTCAGGGACACGCTGCGTATCATAGCTGATGATCAGACTCAGTCCCACGGCAGTTTGTGAAAAAGTCACGAAATTAAGTCGGTTGGTTTCGTGGACAGGTACACGGGTTGTACGGGTTTATTTGTGTCGCTCGGCACGACTTTGTTTTGCGTTGAAAACTGAATTTAGGTTGAGGCAACAAAACCACCAACAGTTAGGTTGAGGCAACAGAACCACCAACAGTTAGGTTGAGGCAACAGAACCACCAACAGTTGGGTTCAGGCAACAGAACCACCAACAGTTAGGTTCAGGCAACAGAACCACCAACAGTTGGGTTCAGGCAACAGAACCAGCAACAGTTAGGTTGAGGCAACAGAACAACCAACAGTTAGGTTGAGGCAACAGAACCACCAACAGTTAGGTTCAGGCAACAGAACCACCAACAGTTGGGTTCAGGCAACAGAACCACCAACAGTTAGGTTGAGGCAACAGAACCACCAACAGTTGGGTTCAGGCAACAGAACCAGCAACAGTATTAAAAACTATGTCACGAACAAACGGACATGTGGTGTGTTCCCTGTACATGAAACTGATAGATTGCCTTTTGTGACTATTTCCCTGTGATCGCTCTCAACAGATAATAACACAGAGTGGTTTCATTCCACCTGCTGCAACAGAGCCGCTGCTCATTTGGTCATTCTCCAGACGGCCTTGTGCTCAACACGCCCCGTCACGCTCTACCTCAAAGGGAAATATTGTGAATACTAAAACTAGATATGCTCTCCAGTGCGCCGGCAGATGCAAAATTCCACACGCACAGACATTTGCCGTAGCTTGCCAAGCAGACGGCTATTCCCAAGAAGCCGTGCTCTCATTTCGATACAGCTGAAGGGTAAGAACATAATCCTGCCTGCAAACCATTCTTAAATTGCATGCACTCCTCCTTCATCTTCTCAGGCTGTTGAGAGCTGCACATTGAAGTGCACTGGGAACGGTGGGAAGAACAGATCAATGACACACAGGAATCTACCTTGTAAATATTTCATCATGAGCTCCACGAGAAGCAGACTCACGCTAACAAACGTGTAGCAAAGCAAACCTGTCACGGTCCTCTGCTCTTTACTTTAAGCTCGTTATAGTCTTGAATATGGACATGGAGCTAATCAGAAAATAGATTTCACCAATAGATTAGTCATATCTCCACTAAATTAGTACTTGCTGCCTCTTTGCCCTCTTCAAACTCAAAGTGACGGCTTTTGATATGTCGCTAAACTTCAAACTAAATAGATTAGTTTTGGTGACCGTCTGGATGTTCTCTGATGTCATGCTTAAAGATGTTCTTCTTTTCATTTCATTTTCATATCAGAAATGGATCAAATGTCTGTGTGTAATGTGTACCACTGGGGCCATTGGTGAAGAAATAATAGAGTCACAGAGCCGCGGGAGGAGGGTGATATTCAGAGAACATCCCAGAAAAAACATTTGATATTCTCTGAGATTAAAGTGGCAAATGTACAGGAAAACCCTCCACACAGGAAGAAGAACAACAACTCGTGTTACTCATACATCCATACATCCATACATCCATACATCCGCGACTCTCCACAGAGAGGAGAAAGAAGTGAGATTGCTCGCTCCTCGGCTCGCTCCTCGGCTCGCTCCTCGGCTCGCTCCTTGCTTCGCTCCTCGGCTCGCTCCTTGCTTCCAATCCTTCCACAATTCGCTTCTTTCTGATCTACGTTGAGAGTTGCTTACATGTGCAGCACCGATCAGGTGTTAGAGGAGAGTGTAACGTTCGTCAGATTTAGCAAAATGTCAGCAATTCGGCAATATTTTACACCAATAAAATGCTATCAGATCTGTAACTTTGTATTGGAAATCTGCAAGTTCAGATATCAGTAGGATGAAAAACGGTATCGCAACATCTCTTCCCAACATTAGGGAAGAATCTAAACTAAAATCTAGACTTGAAACCCATTTGTTCTTGTTTTCATACCACTGACCTGAGAACAGGCATCACTAATACAGTAACCTGTCACTGGGAAGCCAGTGAAGCGCTGCCTCATGGAGGATGCATCTCCTCGCTCCCTCTGGCTGCAGTTTGAGTTCACATGCGGATGAATCTGCCACCACATGATACAGAAGGAGATTGACCTGAGCAGCGAACACAGGTGCTCCTATGGATTCAGGCAGCGGTGGATGTGAGGGGATGCTGATGAGTCCAATCTCCCGACACTGTTTTCAATTTCTCCTACAAGTGTCTCATTCTATTTCATCTGACTCGCTTGTTTTATTTATTTTCTACATCTCTCTTTTCTCGCTCTTTGTCACATCAAAATGTGCATCCACTTCTTTGAGAGATGTGAATCATCAGACGGGTCGTCTTTTTGTTTCATCCCAGAGGAGAGCCGCGGAATAACAGAACAAAAGAAAAAGTGGAAACTTGACAGTTTCCCCAAACGCTGACATCTCACTCTGCCCTCCTGAAAACTTTCAAACATAAAGTTATGGTAAAGGAGTGAAACTAATAAATGCACGAATCTGTTGTTGGACGGATGAACGATACAAACACAAGACAGAATGTACCTCTGAGGGGCGACTTCATGGCGGCCTCCACCATGCCGACCAGCAGCTGGAGACTCTTGGGGTCCTGGGCGAGGCCGGAGGCGAACGCTGCCAGGGCGTCCGCATGACGGCCCAGGTACTGCAGGGCAACCCCCTGACGAAAGTAGGCCTGCAGGAAGAAGACACAGTAGAAGGGGTTATGCGAGGCTTTTATTCTCTTGATATTGAATCAAGACGTCGGCGGCTAAAATTATGTAACTGTGGCTTTGTTTTCAGCCATGCTAGCGGATAGGTGTTTGTTTTTATCTCAGTTTTGAGTCGGTATGATTCATCCTCTGGGGATCATGAATGTCTGCGCTAAATTTCATGGCAAAAAATGCAACGATTGTTGAGACATTTCAGTCTGAAATACAGACCAACATACAGTGGTGGAAGAAGTACTAATATTTTATTACTTAAGTAAAAGTAGCAATCAAAACTTACAGAATTACAGAAGTATTTGCATCAAACTGTACTTAAAGTCTATATACTGTGTAGCTTGTGAATCAACCTGCACAGCACCGATACAGCATGCACACACAGTCTACACACAAGCAGCTCACACTTCATCAGGACCCCTCCAGCATTTCACAGCAACATTACAGACAATGAATCATGACACGAAATTCATGAGGACACACAAACACTCTTCTTCTCTCACTGCCGACCAGACTGTAACTTAATTGTCCCGTCTCTCTCTCTCTCTCTCTCTCTCTCTCTCTCCCCTTTCATTCCCCCTTTCATTCCCCCCTTCATCATTCTGCCCTCTCGACTCCCATTTAAACATAATCTGTCATGACACCGAATGAATGAAGACAAAGAGGGGAGGAATTAGATTACATGGCAGCTCCTGTCCTGGCTGCCACTTTCCAGCACTCGCACCGTCTTTGTCCTCCTCCTCTTCTTCAGACAGCCTCATTGAAACGAATGGAGCCGAGGGTCACGGCTAATCTAATGTGCGAGGCCTTTGTTGGTGTTGGGAGATGAACGTGAACGGGACACGGTGTCATTTCACCGTTGATTAACACAAAGTGGGATAAATGGTTGGTAATTACAGCCGGGGTCGTCTCCCTTAAAACGCTGTCATCATTTTCAATTATTGACCTTATGTTTGTTCCATTTGCGGTTTAGTCTCCTAAATTGCTGGAGCTTTTATTGGCTATAAATACAAGTCAAAAGTTGGATCACACAGAATACTATAACTCTTTCAAAGTTGGGCAGACACATCTGACGTTTTAGGAGGTTATATGAGCTCACAGAACCTAAGATTAAAACGACCAACCCGGTCCCCAGAAGAAACGTTGGCATCGTACGTTTCTGCAAACCATGGATACAATGAACTCCCACAACTCTGAATCAAAATGCATCTCATAAATAAGTTTCATATCAGCCTTGTATCACACTTGCAGAAGTGCGCACTGACACGTAATCAACGCTATGAAACGATTGGTTTAGACAACAAATCTGCTTGTTTAAGGTTAGAAAAAAGATCATGGTTTGTGTTAAAATAATAACGGTAACTGCAACTAGCATAAATATATAAATAACAAACGCACTTAGTAGAATTTCTTACGCAACGTTACATAACAAGAGTAAAGTCAACCTCCGATTCTGACGAGTGAAGTCAAAGCTTCATGTGTTAAAGCTGCATTCTCTCTAGTGTCCACCAGGGGGCGACTCCTCTGGTTGTATAGAAGTCTATGAGAAAATGACTCTACTTCTCTCTTGATTTATTACCTCAGTAAACATTGTAAACATGAGTTTATGGTCTCAATCTCTAGTTTCAAGTCTTCTTCAATACAGCATGATGTTCATTTAGTAGATGGTGGTGCATTAATACAGCAGTTGTCGTTGCAGACACACCTGCCAAAGATTTTGATTTTACAGAGTGCACCTTCCTAGCATGTAACGAGCAGAAACTACACAATTCCTGTGAACACGGAAGTTTAATTTGAAAAGACACAATGCAGGTAATGAGCGGAGTCAAAAACGGACTCTGGAGGAGTAAATGGAGCGTTGTAGTTTCAAGCGTAGAGCCACTGACCAAGCATCAGTATTTGACAAGTTGGTAGTGAGAAATGTGTTTGTATTTGTAAGCAAACTCGTGATGTGTAACACCAGTTGAGTTCCCCTTTAGATGCAGACACATTACCTTCTATTTGACAATAAGAAGCAGCAACACAGGCTTCTGCTTTAGCTCTTTAACTGATGCCAAGTGTCCCCCGCTGAGGAGAGAGACAGCAGCCTGCCCTCTGACCCTCGTCCAGGCTGGACCGGGATGAGTTAGCTGGGCGGACATATGGACGCCCCGCCTGTCTGCCTACCTCTATTTAGCAATGCCCAATAAATCTGTCGCCTTCACACTGATGTTGGCTGCCGTACGGAGGATGCAGCGTTTCCCTTTTAGGCATCCGTGTTCTATTCTTGACTACTTTTGATTGGGGGAGGATAATTTCAGGGAGATGAGGGTGATTATAGCAGAGGAGAAGACGTTATAATCATAGCAAGATGGATATTATCTCTGCATGAGTGTGTTTGAGTGAATGTGCAACACAATAGGTAAGACTGTGTGTGTGTGTGTCAGAGCTTCTTACCCCCATCCAGGGTGTAAACATGCCAGAGACAGACAGAAAGTGACAGCAGGAAACCTCCAGCCTCCTGCTCACACATCCTGCCTATTAGCTCAGTCTGGCTACGCTGCCTGCTAAGCACATACAGGGGGTATACAGTCCAGACAGTCACACACACACACACACACACACACACACACACACACACACACACACTTTCTGTCTTGTTTTATTTATTTATTTTTGCCCCGTCTGTCTCTCAGCGTCTCAGGAAAACTCTTGTCAGATTATAGAGTCTCTTCACAAACTGGCTCGTCTGGTTCGTAGATATTTCACACTGATTCCCCATCGAGCACTCAGAAAGCGCCTTCAACCTCAGCTGACAGGTCCACGTCAGTTATAGTGAAGCGATCGATAAAAGGGACAAGACTAACCCTGGCTGTGTGTGTAACTTAAACGAGTGTGTATTTATTGATGCGTCTCCTTCCTGTGTTGATATACAGGATAAGCACCCTGGGAGCTCCTGGGGCTTAGAAAACTAAATGAATGTTCGACTATTCAATGTTTTCATGATAATAATGTATTAAATGACAATGTAGGTGAGAGAATCTGCAGCTCCCCTCGGCTCTAGAGAGTTCTACCCATCGTTTATCTGTCATTAGAGATGTATCGTTAGGATTCTATCGATATTAGCACTCTTATAGCTTTTGTTTATTGGTTCGGTTCCTTATCGATACTCTTACCAGTTCTTTCTGATTATTTTGTGGGACAAAAAAAAAATAATGTAGAAAAGAATCAACATTTCTTTATTATTCTCGTATGTAAACAAATAGTCTTTCTTGAGCAGCAACACAAGAAGTTCCCAAATCTTTAAAACACATTCTCATCTCATCAATGACGTGATTAAGTTTCATTGATGATCCTGTTCTTGTGATCAGACTCCGTATGACATCACTAGCGTATGACATCACTACCATTACCCGACGGCTGCTCCACAAACAGACGGATGTTCTGAGACGACCAGAGTTCTCAGATGTTTTCTTCTCTCTCATCATGATGAGAGTCTCACGCTGTGCTGAGAGGAGTCGGTGTTCGTCTTAACCTTCAGCATCGTCTATATGTTGTGATGCGTCATTATCCTGAAATAATCCCAGAACAATGCCCATGGGCGGCACATCCTTGCATATAGATAGATAGATTGCTCAAAGTACTAAAACCCAGAAAAGAGTCGACTTCCTGTTCCTTAGTCTCAAAGTCAGTGGGTTTCTTGAATGTGTTTTTGGTTAGATGCCTGAAATAAGGTCTCTGGGTAACACAAGAGATTTTAACGTTTTGTTCCATCAGTAAGCTTTAGTGTTAAAGGGGGTTGACTAAACGTTAACTTGTTGGCTAGTCCGCCTTTACGGCCTCGTTGTGTTTACTTGTGCTCGTGTTCCTTTATAAACGAATGCAGCTTTTTACTTCTGGTGTTTGGCTTCAAAAATCTTAAAAGTGGTGTTCATTTGTAAAGATTATCTTGCTTATTTTCTGCAATAATCCAAAATCCAATGGAAGAATCTTATTGGCTTTTTTGTCAAGGGAACTAGTGCGATGCTAATTTCCTGGTTGGCCTTCAAAAATGCGTCATCCCTGCAGCAACTCTGTGTCACTGCAATTCCTCCTGAGGAGGATATGAACTAAATGGCAATTATAATAATTGGTGAAAAGGCTCACTCAAATCCACAGATATCAACCTCATGGTTGCGCCAAAAAGAAAAGTCACAGGATCACCAAAGTCGGTTGGGTTCATGCTCTGAATAACACGGATGTGTGTACAAAATGTCCTTACGATCCATCCGATAGTTGTTGAGATATTTCAGTCCAGACCAAAACCAACCAACCGGCTAAAGAAAACGTCAGGGCAGTTAAAGGAGCGTTTATAAGAGAAACATGATGAAACACAAAATAAAGGAGAGACTGACAGTTGTAGAGAGAAAGAGAGAGGTGGTATATGTTGTGTGTCAGAGTGTCAGAGCAAAGGATGCACACCGGATGAACAGATGCTTCAATTACTGCTCGTAACTCACATTAATCGAGAACAGATGGCAACACAAGTGGCGAGAGAGAGAGAGAGAGAGAGAGAGAGAGAGAGAGAGAGAGAGAGAGAGAGTAAGTATGAGTTAGAGAGGATCACTTAAACCAGACATGATAGAGATTGATGTCTTTGCAAATCAGACAATCTGCCTCAAAACACACCTTCACTCTCATTTCATCCGGACACAAAGTGGACTGAACCTTATTTTCTCACTGGTGTTGCTTGCGACTGAACAGATCTAACCCCGTGTAGACGATGTGGAAGAGGGAGACGAGGCCTTGAGTTGATTTGTTAGAGATGGAGGAGGCTGAGAGGAAAGAGGACACACCTGGCAGGAGGCCGTGCCCGGAGCGTAATACAGGTCTACCTCTGGTCCCAGGGAGGAGCAAGTTGGAAAATCAAATAGTAGTTTAGTGATTAAAGGATCATTACGGTTTGTTAGAGCTTGGGTCTTACATGTAGTTTTGCCATCAGTCGTAAGATCGA